AATGTTTGTCACTACGAGGAGTGATTCTTAACATCGCATAAACGTTTCTTCTTGCAGATCTCCAGTGGTTGATGGCACTTTTCCTGGTTGCGATAATGGTTAAATTCACGCCTTGAGAATGAAAACTGTGGACTGAGAAGACATTTCTGGTTACTACGTGAGATAGGTAGGAAAAAACGTCATTGTGCAATAGGACCATCTGCTTTGAAATGATTGAACGGCATCGCGCCCAGGACGTTTCAAGATAATTATTAGTAAACTTTATGTGGTGGTGAGTGGTGGTTTTGGCATAGTACAAGCAATAGAGGACAAAACAAAGATAGTAAAATAGCCAATTGTTGTGGCTGAGTAGAATGATTGAAAAACTCATCCACTTATTTGGAACCTGCTCATTTTGGTTCTTAAATATTGAGGAAAGCGGCTTTTCTTCGGATGACATTGCGACACGAAGATCAGGTGGGGTGCTGTGACTGACATCAAGACGTTTGTTAACTGAGCTGGGTCTGTTGGAGTATATCATCTTTAGCGGCATTAGAGGGAGAAGACAGGAAATCCCTAAGGACACTAAAGTATTGACAGATCTGAAATTAATTAGTACTATTTGTATTTGGCAGCAATGGCCGGGGGAAAAGTAACTGAGGTCATATTGTGGTCCAATGGAGATATCACTCGCCAGTATGACATGCCTAAAGATTCTTCCAGTCTATCCATGTATGGTAATAATAGATACCTCAGCGCCCACGGAAATTCATTTAATGGGTCGGTTGAGGACTTTCACGATGAAACGGGTGTTGTCACTGTGGACTTCATTTTAAAAAAGAGAAGAAAGTTGAAATACCTTCTCGAAACTGAAATTTTAGAACACATCGATGACTGGTGGCATTTCGTGTATTTACTTGCCGCGTCCGCTGGGTGTGAAGATATCGTTTCTTTGCTGATCGAAAGAGGCGTTTTTGTGGATTTTTTGGGCGTGAAAGGTCGCTCGGCTCTTCACTTTGCTGCGTCAGCTGGCCACTACAAAATAGTGAAGTTGCTTCTGGAAAACAGTTCTAGCCCCTACATCTTGGACGCAGATGGAAAAACACCTCTTTGTTTGGCGAGTGAGAACGGTCATCAACGTGTGATACGATTATTGGCAAAAACATACGATGTCATTCCTGAGATGGAGATATTGAATGAAAGTTCTGACCCAGATCTGTTTAAAAAGATGTGCAACATGGTGGAGAAAACTATTCGAATGCAAGCAAGAAGAGAATTTTGGGCGCAAAAGCGCACTAAAGAACTAGCATCGCATCCCGATGAAGTAACATGGAGGGAACGAGAGCAGAAACTAAAGTCTAGTAGAGAAAGGGCCTGGAAGAGAAGACCGAGGAAACAGAGAACCAAGTCGGTTTGCGCAGTTGGATTTAACCTCGAGAACATTACAAGCGATGTTTATGAGTATGTGGCTGAATGTAGAAGTGACTGTGTTAAAGGATGCGAGAAATTCGATTCCAATGCAACTCAATCAATAACTGGTTGCCAAATTACCGAAGAATTATTAAGTCATTTAATTTTTCTCTCTAGGGGGGGTGAATCGTGCCTTCATGTGGCGTCAAAGCTAGGATTTGCCGAAGTGTTACCAGGATTAGTTCGTGAAGAATGTGATGTCAACTGCTGTGATTGGAATGGAGAAACCGCTTTACGTAAAGCTGTGTGGAACGGTCACGATCAGTGTGTGAAAACTCTACTGCAATTCGGCGCTTCTGTTGAAACACTTAATCCAAAATTTGATCCTCCGACTCTTCATTTGGCTGTGATCAACAGCCATACGAAGTGCATCGAACATATTTTGGAACGCGGAGCTGATGTGAATTTTTGTGACAAGAATGGCCAGACTGCATTACATGCAAGCTCAAAGTATGGTGATAGAAAATGTGCTACGATCCTTCTTAAACATGGGGCCGATACGTCGTGTCTTGATAAACGTGGAAATACTGCTTTACATCTCGCTGCGAAGCATGGAAATGAAGAGTCTATCCTTGCACTTGTTGATGGAGGGGCCGAGGTCGATTCACTCGACAATAATGGACAAACACCATTACACCTCGCTGCATTTTGGGGTCATGTTGCCTGCATGTCTCTCCTTTTAGATCGCGGAGCAAAACTAAGAAGTGAAGACGAGTGTGGTAATAGTGCTTTGCACTTTGCAGCCCGAAATAACCAAGACGAAGCTCTATTTGCTCTCGTTCACAGAGGAGCCGATGTTAACTCTCAGAATAACGAACAGCAAACACCACTGCATATAAGTGCATTGGAAGGACATGTGCCTTGCTGCACCGTGCTTATAGAAGCTGGGGCGAAACTCGAAATTCGTAATGGAGATGGCTTGAATGCACTTCACATTACCGCCTCCCGGGGCCATCTAGTATGCATTCTGTTGCTACTGGAAGGAGGTGCTAATGTGAATTCCTGCGACATGCAGGGATTAACTGCACTGCACCATACCTGTGAAAGAGGATTTGAAGAATGTGTGACTATCCTTCTCGATAACGGGGCAGATATAGACCGCGAAGGCAAGTTTGGGATCACCGCTCTGAATATAGCTGACTCCCGTGGCCACATGGGTTGCGTTGATGTCTTGTTAAAGCGAGGCGCAAGGGCGACTCGGGGATATCGGAAAAGACAGTTGAGTTTTGGTAGAGACATGGACATTGGTCATTCAGAAACCCTAGAAACGCACCACCATCGCAAATGACAGCCACTAAGTGAAAACAGTTCTGCTCAGTCTGGAAATTTATTTGCAAGAGCACGTTGAAAATTAAAAATACCACAGTTTCATACATCATACACACATCAATTGCACATGTAGACCATATACACTCATAATCCTATTAACATGTAGAGTATGTGATTTCTATTTTACCTGTTTTTGTTTTTGTCGGGCACGGGAATTACGATAAGAGACTAAAATCAGATAGTTATGCATAGTCTGTTTCATAATGGCGATAATTACTTAAACGAAATGTAGCAAATATCAGAGTCTCAACTCCGAATCTCAAAATTAGTTTTATTAAGTGATTTGTGAATGAATTTTGAATTTTTCACGTAAAATGACATTTCAAAAGAAATAGTTATTAAAACAAAAAGGGCAATTATTTCTACAAATAAAATCTCAGAATTAATGGATGTGAATTATTTAACATTGCATTGCATTATAAATTTCGATTTTTTACTTTTTAATTCACATTTGTATCAACAAATAAAGAACTATTTCGATTATCCTGGGTTTTTCTGTTTGCCACGCCCTCCCTTTCCCTGCTGTTACCCGGATAAACCAGGTTATATTATGTTTATAGAACACTATTACTACCTATTAGAACATGAGATTTGTTGTGACGAAGGTGTTAGGCGATATCATAGCCATTAACCCAATGTTCCAGGATTGGCAATGAAAAATATTGATGTATGCATATTGCGAAATGTTGGAATATACTATAGTATTATTGTTTGTGTTACTATTTTGTATGAATGCACAGGTTTTTTCAATGGGTGGTAGGCTGACATAAAAAAATTATGTTAATGGGTGCGGTTAATTGTAGGTTTGCATTCTTCTAAGTCATCACTGGTGGCTCGTGCTTCTTTAACTATTATTTTGATAAATTATTAAAGGAAAGCTTTTTAGCTCACCTCCCGTAGATAGATCGTATGAAATGTCTCAATGCAGCAATTGCTGCAGCGTGTGTGTTCGGGAAGTCTAAGAGTTCAAGTCCTGAAGTGGGTGGATTCTTTTTGTACATTTAGTTGTTTAGTACATTTAGTTGGTTGAATGCAGCCGCAGTCTGGAGAAGAATTCTAGCGACCGGTTACTGTGATCGGTAGACTATTGTGGTTTTCCAGGTCAATTCTACCCATCTCATAACTACCCCATCTCCATTACGCTTTTGTCCAGTTTCCCTGATCCATTGAGCTAATGCTGAGATGGCTCCTTGTTTTGCTTCTGGACGTAAATATAGCATCACTATGCGCACGTTTTGTTAAACTCTCCTTTTGATTTTAATGGTAAGAATAGAGGTAACGGCGAGTTACTATTTTGTTAGCAATGCAGAAAAATCATACTTGCAATTCGTTTACCGATGCAAATACGTTTTCTATAACTGTCTACTTTGTATACGTTTTCGAAAATGTCTACTTTTTCGAATAATGATAATCTCACAATTTTTTTAAATTGATTTTTTTTTAACTTTTACTCATCTTTCAACTATTTATAGTTAAAATGACGGGAAGGAATTCTGGAACTCGAGAAAACGTGCGCAGATAATCTTCTCCCCCATACGTCACCTACAGTCTTTACTGTATTTTTGACTTCATAAATCTAAATCTACTAGGTGGGTGCTAAATCAGTACGTTAACAAAAGAGCCGCGGATCTCGTGCGTTTTCGTCCTGGTGCTTGCCCAGTCCCCTACCCATACATGCTAGTGCACTTCACTACCACTCATTGGGGGACAAGCCAGGAGTATTATCCCTTGTGGCGTCGTTAACACGAGGGCCAGAACCGTTAGGTCGGTGAAAGTACGCTGCGGGGGAGGAAGGGGTTGAGCCTGAACATCCGGGAGTTTGCGCTCGGGCGGTTGACTCAGGTAGTGCCGCAGAGCCAAAAATACCGGAGGCTGTAAAACTCTGAGGATGCTGCCGGCGAGCCTCGTTTACGGAAGCAGGCAGCCAACCCTATGAATCCTGTGTGGGGGCGTTAACCATACCTGCGAGTCTCGCGCCAGCCGGCGAGCCTACCTATGGAACAGTGGTGGGTGTGTCAGCCTCAACTATTTAACGCGGCGCCATCTGCGCCCGCGTTCTCATTCAGTTTGCATCGGGAAGCTTGTACGTGCGTACAAGGGGTGTAGGAGTGTGGGCGAGATGTCCGGAGAGTAAGGGCCAGACAATCTCGCGTGCTGTAGGCACACGGTCGCCACGACCGGGTTAAATTTTGGCGTCAGGCCATGTGACGGTAATTGTCACGGGACCGAGGTCCGATAGCGCGCATCACGCGTGGCTTGTGTTTTCTGCGGTAAAGCAGTGTTCTGAAAGGAAAAGGTTGCCGGAGTGTTTTAATATTAGCAATTCATTGTAACTTGTACATAATCTTTGAATATATTATTTTTATTTTGTTATTGAAATTTATTTCTTATTTCACTACGTCACACCCTACTGGGACGGTGTCCCGTTTGGGCAGATACCAAGTGGAAATGCGCAAGTTTACGTGTAGGTCAGTGCCGGACCTCGCATTCCGCAGTGTGTGCATGCGAAATTTAAAATTATTCACAATACAATATAATTTTTTTTCAATACAATAATAATTTAAAATTTTGTACTATGTAATTTTAACATTCAATTTTTCAGCTTGATGATAGGAGCAACAATCTCCAAAACAGTTGCACGATAATGAAATAAATTAATGTTACAAAAATTCGTGTGCCAAAAAATAGGGGCCCTAACTCTTCACAAAATTATAATTGAGACAGACTAATAAGTGGAAATAAGAAATGATTATTTGAATAACTATATTCCCCACTGAAATCTAGAAAACGCGAACAGAGAGGGTAGTTACATTCATGTCCAGAAACAAAATAAGGGACCATCAGAGTATTCGGTCAAACGATTAGGGAATCTGGATGAAAAATGTGATCGAGATGGAGGTAATTGACCCAGAAGCCGAGGTCCGAAATGCATTTCAAGCATATCTAGTCTTTTAAAATTATACAGGCCAAATAGTACCTAATACATTAGTTAAAATCAGTATTTCTTTTCTTGATATGCTGTATAATCAGTAGTAATCTGTTAAGATCATAAGCTCCTATACCTCGTGATTTTAACACGTGACAGCGCCAAACTTTTATTAACGTGTAAAACTCTTTCGGTTCTACCCAGTGAAAATAACATTAACTTCGGCTTTATTACACTAGGTAAAATAGGTAAATTGCATCAAAATCGCCGAAAAAAACAGTTATTAAACAAAATTCCAGATTTCAACATTCAATAGCTTCGTTAATTTCTGAGTGCTAAAAGTGAATTTTGTCTCATAATATATAAACATTTCATTAGTACTGAACGAATTCACCCTCTTTTCTTCAGAAATTATGTTTAAAACTGAATATATTGTTATATGTTTTGAAAACTGTTTTGCAAATCAGTACTTTCTAGAAATTTTTTCGAAGCTAGTCCACTAGAAAGAGCAGATTTATTTATTTAACCTAAAAACAGTTAAAAGAGTAGTGTGTGTGACGTAGTATTGGGAGAACTGTATTTGGTGCTTGTTTTCTTATATTCTGGTGTTTCTACCCTGAATAAAATACCAGTTGCATCATGACTGCAGATGGAATCGAGCGTTTTTTTTGCAGGAATTGAGAAGAAATATTTGCTCCCGTAAAATAATAGTTATTTGTGATGCAAGTGGAGATAGCGGAAGTGAGTATTGTGCGAGTAGGTAAGGTTACGACACAAGGTCGAGTGGAGCAATCCTACGGACAAAATTAAATCACTTTTACCACGTGTTACGCACTATTTTTAGACAGCCTTTTTGTTCTTTGGTTCTTTTTGGTCCTTCCGGAAAGACGAACGTATTTTGTTTCCTTTGATACATGAACTGATTTATCTCTGAACATCTCACGTAGATCACTAGTGCTAAAAAATTGAACTTTAAACACCCTAGACACTGAAAGGGCCGTTTTATGTGTCAATAAAAATATTTGGAAAGGGAGAAAAGGAACAGATTTTGAATGCTATCCCACACCATACCCTTCGCGAAGGAATCGACTTACTGACGCGAGAACGTGGAAAACTATATTATTAATAAATATGTCCCTCACTCTAGAAAACGTGCAGAGAGTGAAGCTACAGTTGGGACCAGAAGCAAAACAAGGGTCTATCTCAGCAGGTAATCAAAGGATTAGGGAAACTGGCGAGGAACCTGATCGAGATGGGATCATTGACCCAGAAGCTGAGATAAAATACTTGTTACAGGCTTATTTAATCTTAGATATCATTGTTGATATCTATATTACTTTCCTTTTTGTTGCTGAGTATAGTTTCTGATTACACAGAAACAATTATGCAGCAGAAAATATTTTCCTTTGCACTTAAACGTGTGTATCGATTTTAATCGTTTATTGTAATAGGCAATGTATTGTAAAATATTGTATGTGGATTTTTTCAAGTGAACTGTTGAAACTTATATATGACGAATATGATGACTACATCGAATGTTGTAATTATATACATTATTATTCTTTGAAAATGTGTTCTCACTCTTGTATAAGTCATTTGATAAAAAAAAATTCTTATATCAAGAAGCATTGCAATGGTAGAATTCCTAGCTTAGTAAAGAAAGGCTTACAAGAATCACGTAGGTGGAATATGCTTATTATTCGTGATTTTTTCTGTAATCTAAATGTGTAGGAGCTTTAGAGTGTGTTTCCCCATAATATTATCCCGTATCCAAGCGGGAATGAACTTGCAGGAAATATACACAACGAGCACTATAAAGACGTTGAACTTGAAAGAATTCGGAACTCATGGCATAATGAACATAATTTTATATTCAATTAATTTAAATTGACGTTCCGTTTGAGGTTTGACTGAATTGAGAGACTCCAAAATCTAACATTTACGTCAGTGAGTAGCACATCGTTAATTTTCAGCGAAGTATAGAATTATTTGAAACAGAACATTGCATTGAAACCTTTTCCCTTGGATAATTATTTATTACGTAACCAGTTTGAAACGCGCTATTTACGGTTTGTTTATTGCAAAGCATATTCGTATCAGCCCAGGGCCTTGGAGCCATTAGTAACCGGGATTCCCAGACGGTCACCCGACCAGATATCCGTGAAGTCTCGAGTTGCTTAACTTGGCTAACTATGCCGACGTTATGTAACAAAAAACCCGTAATACTCACAAAAGGGGATTAGCGGATATAGGAACAGTACTATTGATACGAGAGATTATATTATTCTATTATTTTGTATAATTCTCTTAATTCCTTCCTATGCATATCATTCTTTCAATTCCTTCCTGTGTATATCATTCTTTTTTAACAAGGTGTCCGTAATTAAACGTACAAAGGAAATCATTTCCTGAAAACACTCGGCAAAATTGACGTCCGGTATTGTAAGGTTACAATCTATGATAATCATGTGACAAGTCCAGTTTCGGAAATTACGTCGTGTTGTTGGAAAGATACAGAGTCGATGCATTTGTCGAATAAAGATGGAAAGTTGAAGAAGGCTTGCAAGAGAAAATAATTACACGGGGAAAGGCAATGCTATTAGTGGGAATCCGTCTGACTGATCCCAGTGACGTGTTTTCTTATTTGCTTCTTTTTCAGATCTCTATTTGTTGGCGACGAAGAACGTCTGGTATGCATCAGAAGAATTGGAACGGCATCAGTAGGTCTACTCTGCAATGATAGGATAGAGAATTTATCTCCGTGACGCAGTGCAACGCAGTATCGCATTAATAACGGAATTATGCACGGAATAAACCAGGCAGTAGGTTCCAAAACGAGGATTCATCATTAAAAAGAAAGAACGGATGAAAGTTAATCTGTTATCTGAATAAGTTTTCACGATTCTGAATTAGATTTTAGGTTAAAAAGTAATGAAAGTATTTTGCATGAATTTTAAAATCTTTCTTAACATTTCTTGAAATACTTCACGTGAACACGAAAACATGCCACGTAAAAATGTCACGAGAAGTGGACCGGAAAAAACACACCATGGAGGAAATACAGATTTATGTGTTGCAGCTAGTATTGGTTTTCATGAAAAAGTTTCCACTTTGCTGTGCAAAGGAGCACCTCCCAATGCAAAAAACTCAACCGGTAAAACAGCTCTTCATTTGGCGGCTATGCATGGGTTTACGAGTATTGTACATACGCTTCTGGATTATGATGCTTCACCTTTCATTTGTGACGATTCGGGGCACACTCCGCTAGATCTTGCTCTGGAGGGAAATCAACAAGAAGTCGTGGATCTTTTATGTTACACAATGAACAGTTCCCGAATTCGCGATACCTACTCCTGGTCGGGTGAACAAAATAGATATCCAAAAGTTCAATATTGTAATAATTCTTCTCTAATCAGCGCAGTACGAAAACGCAAAGCAAAATTTGTGAGAGAAGCTGTCGATGCGGGGAGTTTTTTGGAAGAGAAAGACTCGGAAGGAAATACTGCTGTTTGTGTGGCAGCTAAAATGGGGTTAGAGCATATAGTTCCTCTTGTGTTGGATCACGGAGCATGTGTGAATGTAAAAAATAACTTCGGCAGAACCCACATGGCTGTAATGGGAGGAAGTAAAATCATTGTAGAGATTTTGTTAAAGAGCAATGCTTCTCCGTATGTACGAGATAGAAATGGGTCAACTCCTTTAGATCTAGCTCGCGTTAATAATTGTAAAAAAATCGAAGAGGTTCTTCAAAATAAGTTACATACTTATATGAATGCAGTTAACAAGTATGAGTGTGCTGGATTTGAAAAAACCTGTCTGCATCTTACAGTGCACGAACAATGCTTGGACACTCTAGGACAGGCCGTGAGAAGTAATGGTTGTTCGCTGAAGAAAATAAACCTTGCTCCGCGGAGAAAAGCGGCAGAGATGATTCTGCATCCTACAGAAGCTCTCCAATCGCAGTATTCTGAAGAACCCGTCAATAGCGAAGAAGATTTCAATAGATTTCGTAAGATCGCAGACATGATGAAACAGGCAAGAGTGATTTTTGTTGCCCAACATCGCGCAAAGAAGAGACGCTTTTGCCAACTTCAAGAACGCAGTAATTATCATGTTGTAAATAATGACGGGGTCCTTTTGAAGAAATGCCTGGAAAGAAAGCAATCACATCGCGACAGAATGAGGCGAAGGGCAGGCATGATGAAACACATGAGTGCCGATCAACAAAAGCTTCAAAACACCACTCGGCGTAAGCCTGAGAATGCTTGGAAACGATTAAATAAAATTGAACGAAGACGCTTTGTCAATAACACTGAAAAGCGCTTCCCACAGTTCGAGTCGGTTCTTCGAGTTCGAGAAAATGCTAAATATACCTCTCTGTTTCCTACGTCACATGTCGAGGAATTCCCAACACTTGTACACGTGAAATCTGGAAAGAAGAAACAAGAGAACTCTAAAGAAAGGGAGGTTCGTGTAATGCCAACGTCGGCAGATGATAAATATGAAGACCGAGTTATTATGAAGGTTCTTATTGAAGATTTATTAAAAGCTGCTAGAGAAAGAAATAACAGAAAAAATTACAGGAAGTCTCTGAAAAAATACAAGAAATTACGAAAACATACCGATAACCCAGTAGATGCGAATTTTTTATTTCCAAATGTGCAGACGATTCGTGATAAAAACTTGACTGATTTCGATTTCTGTGCCTCGTGTGGTGGTAAAAATGTCCCAAAACAAGATCCTGGCGTGGGTATTGACCAAAAGCTATCCAAAAGAAAAAGTATCAAGAATGCTACGAAGGGGAAAAAAAGGAACGAGAATCAACCGACAAGCAAGCAGAGGTGGGTTCCTGGATTCCAAAGGTGCATAAAATTTCTGATGAAATATTGACCTATTTCGAATTATCAGGTCCTAATGGTGGGGCCGAAAAGTATTCAGTGGGTTTGGGGCAAAATGCCGACGCGACAAGCATTGACCGAAATGTCTACATGTCTAAAAAGATCATGAAAGCTCCAGAATAAGTTTTCACGAAGCATGAAATTCATGCTTACATAGAATTAGGATACAAAATGTCAGTCCTGGTGGAACTCAGTGACAGGTGAAGCAATTGAGCTTTTTTTCAAACAAATCATTTTTAACTTCATACAAGGTATTACTGATGCTCCAAGTGTTGGAATAATTCAAAAGTTTGGAGTCAACATTGTTTCAGGAAGGTTTGACCTACTCACTGACCTGAATTATGGAAGGACGTTTCAGTTTTGTGCCCTGGTGTCATTTCTTGTCCTGGTTATATCCGTTTATTCGATTCCTCGTGCATATGTGCTTTGATAGGATTTTTTATAGATAATAAAGTGTATGCAAATTACACGTGAGTCCTGCCGGAATAACTGAAATTTAAGTTTTCATTTCGCTTAGTTTTTGTTTGTTGAAACCAGTCAAAAACGCACAAAATTGTTTCCAAACTAACAAAGCTGTTATTTTAAAAGCTCCAGGTCTTTTCCCCCACACTTTATTAAGCCATATTTTCAAACTCTTCATCCACTCAGCCTTTCTGGTGCACAAAAATATGAATACTTGTTTGCAGCTTTACTCCTTGGGCAATGTTTTTCTCTTAAAAATAAGACAAATTGGAGGCTGTTTTGTATTAACTGCACAATAGGCTGGAGCAACAGGGCAGTGTATTTTTTTATATTCAGTATTTTTAATATCAATAGTTTTTACACCTTTTTGGTCGACAGTTGTATTTCCTGGTATATGGAGTGGTTCCTGATAAGTGAAATTGCAATCATTAGCATTTCTCGAGATTCGATTTCAGCAAGTTTTCAATCTCCAGCATTTCAAAAGGTGTCTTTTTCTCATGACATGTGAAAAACAATGATCTTCTCTTCGTATTCCGCATGGATTCTCTGACATTGTAGGTCTATCAAAAAGACCATGCCTTTTCATAAATATTCTATACCACGTCCTTGAGCCATAGAAATTTTTAGCATTATTTCTTGAAATACTTTTAGCTTCTGTAATATTCAATTTTGTAGAAATTCAAATGTCTGTTTTTCAGTTCCCCAAAACCCAATCTCATAATTATTTTTCAATATCCGGCCACTGAGGTTTCTTCCCTCGTGTAGTTTTGAGAGAAATAATGAGCTTTTCTTTATCTAATAACGCCAATCACCTTTAGTTTTCATAGTGGATGGTGAGTCAACTTCCGTTCTGCTGCACGATTATCATGTTCTGTTGCATATTTAACAACTTTGAACTTGTAAGCAGCCATATTAGACGTTTTCATTGTGAACAGCAACTGAGGAACTTTATTTATCGGGCAGATCAGGGCTGGTAACAGTTTCATTTTATTTAATTTTTGAACGTGTAAGGACCATAATTTAAAACTTATAATAAATGGAACAAGTATAATAATTGTTTGTATAAGTTTCGATGTAATTGTTTTTAAAATTTGTAATGTTTTTCATGCTTTTAACAATTGTAACATGTTTTTAACAATTTTATGTAGCAGTGTAATTTGTCACAACCTGCCCCTCAACGGGGTAAGTTGTGACTGGACTGGGCCACGATGTGACACTAAAAGAAACTGGAATATTATTATTTTCAAATACAACAAACTGATCTACAATGCTGATTCATTTATACACTAACGTTTATTTATTCTTCATTGTTTTGAACATCCAAACAGCACTGAATATAAAAGAAATATATTGCATTTTTAGTACAATTTTCATGAGCCCATTTCTTCACTGCACCCAGTTCTCTCCACCCTTTGATGTTTGCAACGGTTCTAAACAAACAAGGCATAGAAACACTTCATGTTCTGAATTCTCAGAGTTTTCTTTTATCTTTTTTGACACATTTAAACTTTTCTTTTGCTATCTAATATATTTTTTAAAAATATTTGTTGGTTCGTTTGTAATGCGCTGCCGTACCACTCATCCGAAAGAATATAGGTATAGCACAATGGGAATGTGCATATACCTGAACGCATAGACGCGCGTTGATAATTTTATGCTGACTCAAGCGCTCTACATACCGGCTCTCGACGCAATCCGCCAGACCTTGAAGTACAATTATTAAGACGTCTTCATTGCGTATTCTGCCCCTGCGATTGTGAAATTTCTCCCGGGAGAGACAGTTTCAGAGAGAAGCAGTGGAAATCAGACGCAGAGATTACCCTAGCAAAACAAAGTAGACTGTATTTGGCTGTGTAGATTTCATGTCCCAGAGTAAACAGTACTTGACTGCGATTTAATTACTAATACATTTAGTCCAAATACATTCTACTTTGTTTTACTAAGGTAATTGTTAAATTAAATTTTCTTATGATATACTTAAAGCCCTTTCACCAATTAATATTATGGTAATTAATTGGCAATTAAATAGCCAAAAAATGTCCCCTAGGTTTCACTCGGTTTTGTTGTAAATGGCTTTGTAGTTTTATATACCTCTGCAGGGTAGGTCCGCAGCCCTTGGTTGTTGCCTCTCAGCAAACGCTATGTTGAGGATCTATCTTCCCAAATTGATCATATATCCGTTTTCTCAGTCTTCAGGGAATTTCCCAAACGAAACAGCATGCGCGAGTCACATTGGACCTTACGACCGGGCGCGAAGCTTAGCGCCAAGCTGCAGTTCCGACGAATTTCTCGGAACAGACGTTGCCCTGGGAGGTTCAAGAGAAAGTGTTCGCAGTTTTTGACCGCTCTCAGCAGCGCTCACGTACGTCAGAGTGAGGCACGGCAACGACAAGTATACATTGAGTGTAGAAGGAAGCTTTTCCCGACAGAAACATATTACTAGATAGAAGATATAATAATTGCTCAGAAAATAATTTGGAAATTAAATAGTTGTAAATTATGATGAGAAAAAATTAAGAACATTTCTTTTGTAATTTAATTCTTTTTTTTATTTCCGAAGGTATAATTGCACTTGTCAATGTTTGTATTTACTTTTTTGTGTTTTAATCTAATTTAATTTTATGTGCAAATATTTAAAATGTTAAATATGGTGTGTTTAAACAATAGGACCAAAATTAATTATAATAACACTAATATTATAATATCTTAAATATCTCATTCAAAATCTAAATAGTGATGCTACAGAATGGCACAGACTTTAACGTATTAGTTTTCTATTTCCTTTGGTCTCGGCTAGCTATTCGAACTTCCTACACTGCTGCCATCTATCTCCGCCCAAAGTACATTTGTTTGAAATAATCTGAACTTTTCGTTTTCCTATTAGTAGAACAAATATCATTTTAAGAATACTAAAAATAAAAAAAATGTCCTAAATGGCAATTTTATTTGAAAAATTGGGAGTGGTTTTTAAGAAAATGGCGTTTAAGCGCTACAGTAAATTCGAAATTTGAAAATTCGACTTTTTCACAGAAAAATTTTGAGTTTTTGAAAAACTTCATTAGAAGTCACTTGAATGTTAATTAAAATATACAATAGTGTTTAAAAATTGCTGGCAATAGCGCGTTTTTGTTCGCGAGACGCTTGTATTCGCCGCGGCGATGTTCGCGCGTTTGAATTGTGTGGTGTGACTCAATTTCTTTCGAAATAAATAGTTGTTTGAATCATTCGCATCCTTTTTTGTTACTTCCAGATATCTTTGACTGACGGAAACAAGTTCTTCGCAGCCAGACATTGTATTGGAGCAACCGAAAACAAATCGTCTTTTGACTGCTTCGTGAACGCTGAAATGGTTACTATATTCAACGCGGTTCTCACCGGGAGAAAACACCTTGTAAACAAAGTAATTGCTGCAAAAGTGTATCTCGATGCACAGGATCCGGATGGAAATACTGCTCTTTGTTTAGCAGCTGAGAAGGGTTTAACCACGATTGTTTCACTTTTACTTGAGAATGGGGCGTGTCCTTCAACTGTAAATAACATTGGCCGGACTGCTCTTCATTTAGCTGCCCTAGGAGGCCACACGAACGTAGTCGAGAAATTGTTAAGTCAAGGAGAATCTCCCCTTGTACGCGACGCTTTTGGGGCATCTTCCCTGGATCTAGCTGAGCAAGGACGTCATAAGAAAGTCATCGCTATTTTGAAAAAATACTTGGTAAACGAGACGGAACGTACTTCAGGAAAAGAAAATGGTACCGAAATTTTGGAAAACAGTGTGGAAACGGAAGCCAGCAATGTTAATTCTAAAGCGTCCCAAAGTTTGAAGAGTAAGAATTCAAGCATGCTTCTTCAGGCAGCTGGTCAGGGCAATTTAAAACGAATGCAGTTTCTCATAGATGATGGTGTGCTTCCTAGTTTACGCAACAGTAAAGGTTTGACAGCATTACACGTAGCGTGTATCAACGGGCATATCGAGTGTTGCAAGCTACTTCTCAATCGGGGAGCAAACGTTGCATCTGAAGACGTGTATGGTAGATCGTCTCTTCACTTGGCATCCTCCAGAGGACAAATACAGTGCATAAATATTCTTTTAAAACATGGAGCAAAAATTGAAAAAGGGGACAAAAATGGAATGAACGCACTTCACACCGCTGCTATTAACGGCCACGCCGACTGTATCACGTATCTGGTTGAGAATGGAGCAGACGTTTCAAGTCGCGATGGAAGAAATCGAACTGCCCTCCATATAGCTGCAAAGAGCGGACAGGCTACGTGTGTGAGTGTACTACTGAAACACAAGTCGCTTGTTTCCTGGAAGGACCGTTTGTACCGTACGCCGCTGCATCGGGCTTCATATCATGGGCATTTAGATTGCGTGTTGATTTTACTAAAGCACGGTTCCGACTTCAGACGCAAAGATGGCTTTGGTGAAACGGACGTTCTGAAAACAGCAATAGGTGGACACACCGACTGTATGCGGGCTCTTTTGGATGCAGGCGCGGACATAGCCGCCAGAGATAAATCTTACAACACTGCTCTTCATTTGGCGGCCATCCACTGCCACGAAGAAACTGTGAAGTTTCTTCTACAGGCTGGCGCAAACCGTGCAGCAAAGAATAAGGAGAAACTTACTCCTTTGAAAGTGGCTGGCAATGACACGGTCCGCTCCTTACTTTCATAATCTATTGTCTTTGGGGAAATACATAATATTTGCGCCGTAAAAATACAAAATAAGACCGTAAAAAACACTTTCTAGAGTTTTACATTTCTTGAAGATCAATTTTTGTCAGGGTATTCAATTATTAGTAAACAATGTTCAGCAAGACACGCTAAGGTAGTGAAATGTAACATTGCAAATGATTGCCAAAATTGTGGAGGCCGTAACATCACTGCATCAAATGTCTCATTTACGAGTAACGCACACTTCGTACATATGTTTACTCCAATAATACACTTTTTGTGACACGTCAAAAGAACATGTTTATAAAAATAGATTTCCTGTTTTCTCTGTTACCAGCTTTCAGCGTGTACGTTTTAAAGATGTCATTTACAAAAGCCCCGTGGGTTTGTAATGTCCGGCATTCCGGGACGAGTCGCGTCACTGTCGCGGTGGCTGACGTTCCGGCCAACATATTGTGGTCTTCCTCAGTGCGTACCGCTTCCAAATGGCTAACATTGCCGCCTAACATTCCCTGTGGACCCGTCGGCTATCCAGCTGGCCGGAGCACCATTCTATCCTTTCCCCCTCCCAAACAGGCTTTCGCCCTCACGACGGTGTGTTTGAACACAATTACCTCGTTGAGACGCTTATTAACAACGCTAATCAACAAAAGGGCAACCTATCTTCCTTGACTTTTCCAACGCCCAATCCCACACTCTGGTATCCTTACGACCCTTCAGGCCTCGGGCGCCGACGCCATTGTTTCCGACCTTTACTCTGATTGCTCCACCTCCTCGGCGGCGATGGTGTAACGGTTAGCGTACTGGACTGTTGTACCCAAGTTGGCGGACCCGATCGAAGCCGTGGATTTTAAAGCGAAAAATCCTTCGTACGCCTTCCTTCGGAGGGGAAGTAAAGCGCGTCCCATGTTCGTAGATTTACTTGCATAAAGATCCTCAAGCCTAAATGACGTCCTCTGAGCAAATTCAAATCGCCTGTTTCGCCCAAGAATACCTCCTTTCTCTCTAGTTGGTGAAAGGAGCGTAGCGAAATTTGGCGTGGTCAGACGAAGAGCGGGCCTGATGGCCCGAGAGTCTCGCCAACGTTAAAATAAGGCAAATTCAATTATTCAATTCAATCCTGGTCACTGCGGCCGGTCTCTCCCACTCTATCCACCCCTCCCGCGGCGCCCGACAGGGCTGTCCACTCATCCCCTCCCTTTTCAACCTGGCTGTAGACCCTGTCCTGCGAGTTGCCCTTGCGCTCTCCGACCTCCAGGTTGGGGAAGACGCCAACGCGGAGGCTGCGGCTGGCTCTCCGCATCCTCCCCCTCCCTTGTCCAAACGAGGATGGACCCAGTCCTATCCTCTTCCATGGGCATCTCCCTGAATCCCTCCAAGTGTGATGCACTATTCATCCGAGGCGGTAGTCAGACTGGAAAGTACGTTTGAAAGACAAATATTTTTTGAAAATAAATCTGGAAGCGCTATAAATATGTAGAAAGAACTGCATCATTTTCTGATCAAAGAAGCGTTATTTCCGGATCAATGATGAGTAATAAAGTAACTGCAATAAAACTTTCTTACACATTGTGATATAAGAACTACTGTAAATATCCTTTCCAAGTTAGATTTCTTGCTGAACGAAAAAGTATATTTTAACATTTTAGTGGGATTTAATTTGAGGAGACGTGCCAAATCAATTGCATTGCTTGCAAATATTTCAATGATTTGTTTATTGAAATTAATTTATCATTAGATTACTGTTACGACATATTAACAGAATTATGTTTGTTTTTTCATAATGTGGTGGAAATAGTTTATTTATTGCCTTAATATATTAAGGTTCAATATGGTGTTATTGTAAAGTTAGAAAAATATTAATTTAAGTTAGTTAAAGGTATTTTTATTGTTTATTCACGATGGATTAATGTAATAAAATGAAGTATAAAACAAGGCGTAATAGACTTTATATCCTTACTTTCTTACTATTTACAATGGTTGGTGTGACTTATTGAATGTTTTCGCAATAATATTTTATTGTTAGCGCTATTTTATGAATAATTTAACATATTTTAATGTATCATTTGTTATTGCAATTAATTAATAAATTACAACTGATGGCAATACTTTGTTTATTCATTTGCTTGATTCATTAATCTATGAATATTTAATGTTATGTGACATTTGTTTCTATATGTGCTGTGTTATACTTTTTCACACAATTATTCTACTTTGGGCAAATCGATTTCTCAATTTAATTAATTCCTCAGCTTAGATATTACCACAAATGTAGCTCTACAGACAATCCATATTTCAAAGAAGGCAATTTATCAATTAAAAATTAACAAAATCACTTCTAGATATGAAATTGCAACAAAAGATTTAGGATAGGGTTCAAGATGCGCAGAATATTACTATTTCAAGAAATGTGTATGACTCAAAAATAGACGTATGAATAGATAGTTTACTAAGATTATTCATAGACTATTTACTCCATGAATCGCGGACGTGGTTTGTAATAGTGTTGATACAAGCGATAAATATAATTACTAAAACATTTGAAAAAAGCAATTACTTTCTCAATTAAATGATTATACCCATGGCATCAGAAATAGTTTTGACCTAGTGGACAAATTGAATGGGTTACAGCTGAGTTCATATATGAGATTGGGTTTTTAGAGGTAATTGCTATGTACCCATCCATCCCTCATGATTTAATTCTTAATGCAATTGAAGAAGTTCTAACTAAAAATTCTAGACCACTTAGTATTCCTTCTGACTAATACAGCTGTAAGAGCTATATTAAATCCCATTTAATTAAACTTTTACAATAAAGTGTATTGTCAAATGAATGGCACACACATAGGTAGTCCAATAGTGGATAAAGCAGTTGCAATATTTAGAAAAAACCTCAATCATGAGGTGTAGCCAGAATCGATGTTTTGTGGATCCTTGATCCCGAAAAATCGATTAACGGTAAAACGTCTCTCCGCCTATCTGTGAAGAACGCTATCGGTTAACCGTTCAGCCGATTTTCTTGAAAATAATTTTCCCAAATTGATCTGACAGATGTCACTGCCCTTGAATTTGAAAGTGATATTTTAAATTTCGTGTCTAGTTTACATGAAGCTCCTGGGACATTTTAAAAAAAAGTCTCTTACGTTTTTGATTATGTTTTTATGAAATTGGTTCCTTAAAGGTAGATTTTGAAATAAGATCAGGTAAAATTTTTCGAAAATTTGAGTACTTTTTGCGTAATTTTGTGTGAAATATAAGCAATTTTTAATTTTGTTTAAACTATTTTTTCTAAGAAACTGCTTTGAATTATCTTACTAAATTTTGACCTCTAATAGCATGTAGTACGATTAAGAGAATGATGCTTGTCTCATATTCGTTAAATATTTTGATTTTGGAAAATTGCAAAAATCCAATTTTTTCCCGTGTCTTCCTACGACTACAATTATGAAGATAAACATATTTTCTTAATGAAATATGTAATCAATAACATTTTCAATATTATTTCATTTTCCTTTGTTCGTTACTTACATTCGAGCTTTTGATATACGTTTACAAATTAATCTTTTAGAAAGTATTTAAATCCTATTTGATAATCCATATTTGTGTCGGTGTTGCGAGAAATGTATTTGCATTCTCAATGTAATGGTTATTTTCTTTCAAGCAATCCAAAACGTTAATTACTATAGCCCAATTGGGTATTCTCTCTTAAAAATACGATTTAAGCTAAAATCGCTAGCCTTCAATGAGTATCATATTAGAATGCAACATCATTCCGCGCAGTTGTAGTTCTGTGAATTACGTGTCATTGTTGAAACATGATTTAGCTGTAGATTCAGATTTATTCGGTCAAATAACAGTAAAAACTGTATGTGACGTAGGGGGGAGAAGATTATCTGCGCACGTTTTCTTAGTTCTAGAATCTCCTTCCGTCATTTTAACTATAAATAGTTGGAAGATGAGTAAAAGTTTAACATAAATAAATTTTAAAAATCGCAAGTTTAGCAATATTTGCAAAATAGTTATTTCGTTTCCGAGTTATAGAAAACCTATTTGCATCGGTACACTAATTGCAAGTGTGATTTTTCTGCATTGCTAAGAAAATAGCAACTCGCCCTTACCTCTACTCTTAGCATTACAAGCAAAAATAGAGTTCAACAAAACGTGCGCATAGTGAAGCTACATTTACGTCCGGAAGAAAAGCAAGGGGCCATCTCAGCATTTACTCAATGGATCAGGGAAACTGGACAAAAACCTGATCGAGATGGGGTCATTGACACAGAAGCTAAAGTACATTATTTGTTACAAACAAGTTAAGTCTTAAAAAAATTATACAATACAAAAGTAAACTAATTCATTATATATCACTGTTTTGTTAAAATAATCATTTTTCGTTTTGATAATCAATGTAGTCTATAATTGTATAGAAACACGAAGCAGAAAATATTTTACTTTTCACTTAAATTTGTGAACTGACTTCAATTGTTTAATGTCATCTCGCAGTGCGTTGTAAAGTAACGTACATATATGTGGCAGTACACAGCTACATAACGTAGTTTCCGCACCTAATGTTCTACGATTTGTAATGAGCTTAAAGAAATTATGACTGAGATACGTTACTTAACTATTTAATTTAGTATTACATTAACTATTACATAACCATTACTAAGGACGAGAAAGTGTTATGTTTAGCACCAATAGTGAAAGGGGCGTAAAAGATCATTTTTCAACGAAAAATAACCGTGAAGATATAGTTAAATAAAATATGCAATATTTAAAATATATATGTGTGTGTGCGTGTGTCGATGACTTGTAACAAGGTTATAATTTTGGTATCTGGCTGCATTTATATTTCCCGGTAATATTGGGACGCAAACTGGTAACTGAAGCTCATTGTAATCGGATACTACGCGCATAAGCTCACCCGTCATTCTATCATGGCCAGATTGAGTTACATACATATTGCATACGCGTCAGCTTTACCTTATCTCGACGTAAATTACTCCAGGGATTTACGAAGTAAGACAGATATCCGTCAAATTTTAATCTTTGTTTTGAAGTTCATAGAGTATTAGGAGTATTATCATAATGATAAGAGTCTGTTCTTTCAAAAGAGACAATCTGAAATATGATTGAATACATTTCTGTACGAAATTCTTCGTGTTTTTAAAGGTAACTGTCACCGAAATAAAAATTATTCAAAATAAGATTCATTATGTTATGCTTTTAAATTATTTACGGCTTTAAGTCTAACAGAGTAATTCACGTCAGTATTGTCAAAATGTTATTTGTAAAAGAAATTAAATATCGTTGAAAATCGATGTAACTTCTAGAAACACTTTTTTATAAAACAACACATGCAATTACGCCAGGGCCGGATTTAAGTAGTGCGGGCCCCAAGCACAAAATTTTGATGCTCCCCCCCGAAAAAATAGCTCCATCTTTATTAAATAAAAAATGTATTATAGTACAAGTACCTTCTGTATAGATACAAATGAAAACTGATATTTTTTATAGAAATTTTTACTTGTGTTACATTTTGTTACACAGTAGACTACTTGATTAACAATTATTTCACAGACAAAAAAATATGGTATGCGTATTTTTCCGAAACGCGGGGCCCCCAAGCAACTGCTTGTTTTGCTTGTACGTAAATCCGGCCCTGAATTACGCCCATCTTAATTGCGCAATTTGGCGTTCAAATTCTACAAACCATTGAAGATATAATTTTTTGTAAAAAAATAGACACTCCTTTCTTTTTAACAAACTATCGATAATATTTTTAAAACCTTAAAATATGTCGCGGCTAGCCCCCGTTTTACCTACTTGTC